CAAGTTCTGATATCCGACACGTTTACCTACCCGGGTCGGGTTAGGGTCGACCCGTTTGAACCCGAGACATTTCCGGATTCAACCCGTGACCCGAAATTGACACCCCTACTTGATATGTCTCCAAAAACAAATACTAGTTAAATCATTTTTAAGTGGCTCAGACCCTCTGATTTTTCCTCTTTTGACGTAAAAATGTCGGCATCTCTTATTACTTTCTCACCCATCTCTTTCTTATCTTTGTTAATTTTTTTAAATCATTATAATCAAATTTTTATTGGGATATTCTATTATTTTTTATTTTCTTATCATATTTTATTAGGAAAAATTAGGACATAATATTTTCAGCAGAATATATTTAAAATTTTTAACTTATTTTGATATAAGCATAATAAAAATATGATCAGTTAATTATTACATTGTATTAATTTATTTAAAAAAAAACTAAATTTTAAGTTTTTTTATTGTTTTATCGTATTTTATTAAAAAAAATTAAGCCATAATATTTTGAGCAGAGTATATTTAAAATTTTTTAATTTATTTTGAAATTAGTATAATAAAATATGGTTAATTAATTGTTAAATTATATTTATCTCAAAATAAAACTAAACTTTTTAAATTTTATTCTAATTGCATTTTAATCAGAATTTTTTTTTTTGTTTCATTTACTTTTTCATTAGTGTTGATCAATTAAACAGTAAGGTCTTTATCATTCAAAATAGGAAGCATTCATTGCCTAAATTTCATTAATCTCAAAAGCTTTGGAAGGACTTATTAACCACCTTCATAAAGAAAGAGTCCAAAATCTCCAACAAAATAAAAATTGAAATACATAGCTTTAACAAATGGGTGAGATTACAAAACTAAACAATTTAGGAAGCTTTAGTTAGCCTAATTATGAATCCATTTGCCTTTCATTTTGTCCTATAGAGCAATTTTAATGAATATTTTAACTTATAGATTAATCTTTTGTCAATTCTATTGAAATCAAGCCCGGAAAATATTGATCAATTCTTTTTAACTTTTTTTAGGCTTCGTTTGAAATGACTTTTTCATTGCTTAAAATTTTTGTACTAAAGCTTTGTTAAAAAAATACAATATAAAAGTCGTCCCAAACAAAGCCTTATGTTTCGTTTAGGATGACTTTTTGTTGCTTCTTAAAACAACTTTTTAGTATAATTATTTTCTTTTATATTAAAAAGTTGTTTTAAAAAGAAACAAAAAAATTGTCCCAAACAAAGCCTTAATCTCATTCATATAAGTAGCATTAGATTTTATTTATGGTCTCTCTCTCTCTCTCTAGTTGGCAATTGGGGGACTTTTTTCTCTCTCTCTCTCTCTCTCTCTCTCTCTCTCTCTCTCTCTCTCTCTCCCTCCTTGGCAATTGGGGGATATAGTTGATGAAATGGATAAAGATATATATGAGACATTGTGATTTAAGAAGATACTATGGTCTATGTCTTATGAAGCTCTGTAGAAAAGCTTCACATCGTATCTTCACCAGCAAGAGAACAAGGATGGAACAAGAACACAGAGAAGATTTTGCACATGAATGATTTCATTGTGTCTGGTTTACTACAGTGTACAGTGAATATATAAAGACAGTGAGTACACGTGTAGGGTAGAGATTGGAGATAGGTAATGATAGCAGCACATGGTTAGTTTGTAACACAAAATATTCTTTAGGTAGTGGAATAGGATGCTAATACTTCCCCGCAAATTGACGGATCCAACTGAACTGTTAATTTGAAACGAAGATGTTGGAAACGCTTTGTGGAAAGCGGTTTGGTGAAAATGTCAGCCGTTTGATCTAGTGTACTGATTGGAGCCAGCAGGATGTGCTTCGCATGAATGTGATCACGTTTGAAATGGTGATCAATCTCAATATGTTTAGTACGAGCATGGAACACTGGGTTGTTTGCCAGTGCTATAGCAGACATATTGTCACAGTAAAGAGTGGTTGGTTAAGTCAAGGTGATGTTAAAGTCCTGGAGAAGTATTCGCAACCAGAGTATATCAGCAGTGGCAGCAGCAATGGCGCGGTACTCGGCTTCTGTAGAGGAGCGAGCGACAGTGTGTTGTTTCTTAACACTCCACTAGATGAGAGTGGATCCTAGAAATGAGCAGTAACCTGAAGTGGACTTCCGAGTAGTCAGGTCACTAGCCCAGTCGGCGTCTGTCATGGACCTGAGCTGAAGTTGACCAATAATAATGGGAATGTCGTAGTGAGTCGTCCCTTGAAGATACTGTAAGAGCCATTTTAGTTGATGAAAGTGTTGATCTTGTGGAGCATGCATATGTTGGCATAGGAAATTAACCGAGTAAGAAATATCTAGTCTGGTAATCGTGAGATACTGGAGCGAACTAGTGAGCTGTTTGTAGATGACTGAATTGTGAAGAATTGGATCAGAGAATGGGGTAGTGATGGGTTTAGTAGAATTTGGATTTGAAAGTGGCTTACAGGAGGTGAGACCCGCCTGTTGAAGTATGGATTGGATGTAGGCAGCTTGGCTGAGAAAGTAGTGAGTGGAGTGAGTTTGGATAGTGATACCGAGGAAGGTGTGAGCCAGACCAAGATATTTCATGGTAAACTGATGACTGAGTTGGGTAATTAAGGTGGAGATAGCTGAAGAATTGTTGTCAGTGAGTAGAATATCATCTACATAGATAAGGAGATAGATTTGGATGTTGGATTGGCTGAAGGTTAGAAGAGAGTGATCAGATTTACTGTGACAAAAACCGATAGAGAGAAGATAGCGTGAGAAAGTATTGAACCATTGTCGAGGGTCTTGTTTTAAGCCATAAATGGCTTTTTGAAGTAGACATACATGGTGGGGATGAAGGCTGTCCTCAAGGCCTTTTGGTTGAGACATGTACACCGTTTCTTTGAGATCTCCATGTAAAAAGGCGCTGGCTTCATCCATTTGATGTACTTGCTAGTTGTGATGAATAACCACGGTGAGAACTCTAATAGTAAGCATTTTGGCGACGGGACTAAACATGTCATGATAATCCAGTCCATGTTCTTGGCGATGCCCCTGAGCAACAAGCCTAGCCTTATATTTGGCAATAGTTCCATTTGAGTGATACTTGGTGCGGTAAATCCAACGACAGCCAAGAATGTTGGAGTTGGACGGTGGAGGAACTAATTTCCATGTCGCTTGCTGTTGTAAAGCCAAAAATTCCATGGACATTGCATCACGCTAGTGATAAAATTTGTTGGCTTCAGTAAAATTGGTGGCATCAGGAGGAGTTTGAAGCTGTTTGAGATCAGTTTGATGAAGCAGGTTGAATATCTACTTTGGTTTTAAGTTCCCTATTTTTAGACGTGTGAGCATGGGATGGCGAGTAGAAGGAATTTCTCTGGGTGCAGATGATGGAACATTTGGTGGTGAAGTAGGTAAGGATTGATATGTAGATATGGGAGGAAGGGCATCTAGTGGCTGAGATTGTTGAACAGCAGTGGATTTCGTAGTGGATATAAAAGAGATAGGAATAAGAAGAGATGGATTCGAGAGAGGTGGCTGGCTGGATGTGATATTTGATGAAACTGAGTTTTGTGAGGAGCTGGGGAATGTGTCTTCATCAAATGTGACATGGCGGGAAATAATTATTTTGTTGGTGGAAGGGTTGAGGCATTTGTAGCCTTTATATGCATCGTAATAGCCAAGAAATATGCATTGAGGAGCTCTTGGAGCGAGTTTGTGACGTTTGGATGGAGGTAACCACGGGTAACAAGCACATCCAAAATTCTTTAGATGAGAGAAGTTAGGCCGTTGATTGTGGAGAAGTAGAAGAGGTGATTTGTAGTTTAATATTGGCGTGGGCATACGATTTATGAGATGCGCTGCAGTGAGAACAGTGTCAGGCAAAAAATGATTGGGAAGTTGGGCTGTATGTAATAGAGTTCGTGCGGTGTCCAGAATATGTCTATTTTTACGTTATGCAATCCCGTTTTGTTCGGGAGTATAAGGACATAAAATCTATTGGTGGATGCCATTTTGCTGCAGAAATGAGGGCAGCTCATAATTGAGGAATTCTATACCACCGTCTATCTATATACATTTAATTTTGTGAGACAATTGATGTTTGATGAAGGTTTTAAAGTTAATAATTATTTGGGTGGTTTTAGATTTATCATGCATCAAAAAAAGCCAAGTAAAACGTGAATATTCATCCACTATAATAAGATAATAACGGTATCCTTGATGTGAAGCAGTTGGGGAAGGCCCCCAAACATCGAGGTGAAGTATAGCTAAAGGAACACTAGTTGATTTGGTAGATTGCTGAAATGCTAACTTATGGCTTTTAGAAGCCTTACAGGCCGAGCAACCAGTGCTCAACACAGGTATATTAAGATCTCTATTTTGGGTGGAGATGACATTTAGTAGTTGGCTGTGGGGATGGCCGAGACGATTATATATGCCATTTGAGAGAAGACGGGCGAGTGACGGAGAGCGCTGATGGTGGCAGATCAGCAGAAGGTAGGCTAACGGTGTACAGACCATTGCGACAGGGGCCCTGAAGGAGTATATGTTGAGTCTTCAGGTCCTTTATAGTGAAACCAGATGGAGAGATGGAGATGGAAACATTATTGTCATTAGTTTTAGATTAGAAACATATAACATGTTATGAGTTAAATGTGGAACATGATAGATTTGAGAGAGGTAGAGCTTACAGTTGGGTGTGGGTAGAATTCCAGGACCAGAGTGTGCTATTGGAAGGTTTTGTCCATTGCCAACAGTTATGCTGTCCATACCTTGATAGGATGTTGGCTGCTGCAGATTGTCCACTAAGTGAGTTAAATGAGAAGATGCTCATGAGTAAATATACCAGTTCTGAGTAGGCGGCAGTGAGTCTGCGACTAAGGCCTTTGTGGTGGTCGGTGTTGGACGTGGAACATAGTTCGCATTCAACTGATGCCAGCATTGTAGAGCATTGTGACCTCTTTTGTTGCAAATTTGACAGACTGTAGGTGAAGAGGAGGTTGAGCGACCGCCTGATTAGTGAGAGTTGAAGGAACGACCTCTACCGCGGCGACCATGCCCGCGAGAAGCATAGAGTGCTGTATTTGGATCGGATGTGGAATGTTGTCGTGAGGTTTCAGTTGCCAAGTTGATTTCCTCTGTCAGTAGATAAGAGTAGAGCTCGTCAAGACTGAGAGGTCCACGCTTGGTACGAATGGCGGTCTTAAAGGCCTGATAGGATGGAGGCAGACCATTAAGGATGTACAACACAATGTCTTCAGAGTCTATATTCGAGCCCGCAGCTGCAATGTTATCAACAAGGAATTTTACAAAGGTCAGATATTTTTCCATGGAGAGGTTCTTCATGGTGATGTTGTGTAACTCGTTCTTCAACTGAATAACTCTGGAGTGATTCGAAGCCTGAAGTTGTTGCTCCAAAGTATGCCAAATTTCATAACATCTATCCAGATAAGCACATAGGGGATGATTGAAGGGGAAATTGTCGAACAGAGAGCGACAACTAAATTTTGATCTATTAGTTGCCATTGAAGATAAGCAGGGTTGGGAGTTTTGCTACCATTAGTTTGCTGAAGAAGACGAGGCGGAGGTGCTGTTGCGATGTCGATGTGACTGTCGAAGCCATTAGCTCTCAATAGCTTCAAGATTTGTGACTTCCATATTGGATAGTTGTCACTGGAGAGGGAGGTGGGCACTATGGTTTTGATGTGCGACAAGACGAGCTTGAGCGATGAAGGTATTTCAGCAGGGTTAGAAGTCGTTTGATCCATGGTTCGCGATGACGAAGACGACGACATTGTGGAAGCGACTGAGGTATATTTCCCTCAGACCCGCTCTGATACCATGTAGAAAAGCTTCACATCATATCTTCACCTGCAAGAGAACAAAGACGGAACAAGAACACAGAGACGATTTTGCACAGGAATGATTTCATTGTGTCTGGTTTGCTACAGTGTACAATGAATATATAAAGACAGTGAGTACATGTGTAGGGTAGAGATTGGTGATATGTAATGATAGCAGCACATGGTTAGTTTGTAACAAAAAATATTCTTTAGGTAGTGGAATAGGATGCTAATAAGCTCTTCTTCTTTTGTGTTATTGAGGGAGAATATAATAGATTATGAAGTTAGTCAAATTCCTTAAAATCAATTTAAACCTTATATAATATCATTTTTTTATGTTCTAAATCCCCTCAAAATTATTTTTAAAAGCTCAAATTATCATTAGTTAAGTTTGTAATTGAAAGGATCACATAAGCCTAATTTCTAAGAGTTAATTTTCTAATTGGGCTAATTTGACCTTAAAGAGGAGTGTGTGAAGAGGCTATTTGATTAATTGCATAAAAAAAGAGGAGTGTAAGTTGGGGAGGTCTTTGAGATCTTCAAAAAGAGTAGAGTGGGCCAAAATACACAAGAGACATTAAGATTTAAGGATAGATGATAATTTCTAAGGTTTAGAAATCAATTTTAACTATTATAAAGTGAGTTATAAGATACCACTCTTTTTTTAATATTCTAAGAAGGTATTAATATAATGTAGTTGAGTGCCATTAGAGTTATTGTAGGGACGTTGATGGCTGTAGTAAAGAATGATGATTAATATGGTTATGTCATTAATTATAGGAGAATCAATAATTATGACTATGGTAGATGGATGTTGAATGTTCCAAAAACCCAAAAGTAGCAAGGAATATATAAATAGAGTCTGTCAATGAAGATATCATCGGAGTTTTCAATAGATGAATCCATGGAAGGCTTTGGTAGAGGGATGCTTGAGGAAAAAATGTGCTAATGAAGGATGTTAATGAAGTGTAATGGGAGTATATCAATTGAATAACTAAAGAAGGGAATTAAATGTAGGTGTCAATGGAAGGCTATATATTGTCATCTTAGAGGGTGAATATGAGAGGGACAATCTGAGTAGAAGCTAATAGCATTCATCAATGCAGTAGCATTATGGCATAGATTAAGGGTGGTGGCCTAGCAACAATGTTCTTGTTCACTTAAGAGAGGGGAAACCTAGCCATGGTGTTGATTATAGAGGTCAATAAATCCATTGAGCTAAGTTGTTGCCCTTTTCTATTATGGAGGAAGAGCTATTTTTAGTAGTTATAAGATTCATTAAGGTAGAGAAGCGGCCATCAATGACGGAAAAGAAAGGTGTGTGCAAGTGTTCCTCTCATTTTCATATAGCCTCTCATTTTTCATGTAACCATGAGGGGAGATGATAGCTAGTTATATTATATCAAATAACTTAAACACTTTAAACCTTTTTTTTATATTCTAAACTTCTGAAAATTGCTTAGATTAACTATGAACCAATAAGAGTACATTGAGAGGCATCACTTTGGATATTAATTAAGTTAATCAGGCCTAACATGAAATTAATAAAGTTAAGGCAACTAAATGTTAAGGTTCTAATCAAATCAATCATGCCTTAGGCATAATTAATTAAGCTTAACATAGAGTATTAATGCCTTAATTAATTATATTAATTAAGCTTCAAAATTAATTAAGATAATTACATGAGTTTAATTTGAAGGGGTTAAATTTCTAATTGGGTTAATTAGTTCCTCATCTCAATTAGGCAAGCTAAATTAACCCCAAGTTTGAGTTAATAAATATTTTTTAGTAAACAGCTCATGCATTAATTCAAAATTTTCTAATTGCTTTGAGATACATATTTTTCCATAAAAATTTGTGCTTGCTCATATAAGGATTTTAAATAAAGACTCTCATTTTCATCAATTATTTTAAAAATTAAAATATTTTCCATTATCAAATATGGCTTTTTTTCATAATGATTATTTATTTATAATTAAAAAAATCTAATACAAATTAAGAATAAAAAAATAAAATAAAATTTTAAAACAAAATCTGCACCTTAGAGAAGCCCTGTAGCAGCCCATCTTGGCCTTTGAAAAGTATTAATGAAAAAAATATTTTGCAAGCATTCTTCCTCTTCCTCACCACATCTTAAATAAAAGGAGTGTAACTCACCCAAAAAAACCTTCACATATTTCCTTCTGGATCCATCTTCATCATTTGAGATAGAGAGAGAGAGAGAGAGAGAGAGAGAGAGAGAGAGAGAGAGAGAGAGATGGCTGGGTTGCAGAGGTCTTCTGAAACCTTCAGGAGGTCAGGCTCATCTGGTCTTGTATGGGAGGACAGACACCTCCCCGGTGAGATGAACTCCAACACAGCAAAGCCGAAGGATAACTTAGACGCCGATCCCATAACCCTTAGGCCGACACACAGCGTTGGAGCTATTGGCATGATGAGGAGAACCCGTTCCACCGGAGGCGGAGGCGGCGGTCGGGGCGGCGGCGCTGGTGATGGTGTCAAGGCTTATCGCGCGGATCAGGTTGCGCCGGCCATAGACCCTCCTTCTCCCAAGGTATCGTGCTGCGGCGCCTTCTGTGGAGATTTCAGCAAGAACGGGTCGAAACAAAAGGGCAAGGCTCGCCGGCGCTAATATCCAGCCGGCGATCGCCGGAGATGTGGAGAATCTGTTTTATGTTTGACTTTTTTTTCATGGTGGTTTAATTTGTGCTCTGGTTTTTCTTTTTACGAATTTCTCATTTTGTTAATTAGAATTACATAGAAAACTGCGGCATAAAATTGAATCACAGCAATTTTTTTTAATCATGAGCGCTAACTAAAATTCATAATATAAGAAAAAATATTTTTCTTTAAAAAATTATTTTAAAATATTATTAAAATAATTAAAATAAAACTTAAAGCTTTTACTTTCAATACTTATATAATATTAATTCATCATATATTACACTCACCTTCGAATATAATATCATAAAAATTTGAAGCATATTCAAATCAAAATTTTAATCAAAATATTTTGATAGGATTATTTTGAATTTATGTATGCATATTTGAATTCTTTCTATGATTTCATTTTTTCGATTTCTAGGCCTTCTTTCAGTATGATTAATCGGAAACATTAAATTGATTTATTCTTATAAAAAATTTCAAAAAATTAAATCTTAAAATTATTAAATTTATCTTAAGCTGAGCAATGTGGCAAAATTAATTTAACAATTTTAAGAATCATATAATGAAGAAAAATGAAATGAAATAGTAGAGATTGACCAGCGACAACAATGGCTAACACTGGCAGGTGATTTGTAATGGTGGCGGCTGACAATGGCGGAGGCAACGATGGACAACAACAATAGTGATGAATTTATTGTGTATTTAAGAATCATCCAAATATATATAATTATAAATATACCAAATTTTTATATTATCCCTCATTCATAGATCAATTTGGGTTTAAGTTTTACTTTATAAAATAAAAAAAAACAAAATTAAGAAATCCCAACATAACATCTTATCACCATGAGATCAAAAAGGCTTTGTTGACATTTGTAAATGCTACATTATCTTTAAATTTCTTTTTTATATAAGTATATCATATGAACAATATATATTACACTCATCTTAAAGTAAATCCAACGCTCTCAAAGCATATCTTAGTCAGCATTTGATCACTTGATCACTCATCTGATATAAATATCACATATTTCTTTTGAAAATGAATTAAAATTCAATTTTTGTATAATTTTGTATGCTTTATTAAAATCATGAATTTTTATATAAGCAACACATAAATATTTCTATTTGCAATAATCTCTCTTAAAATTTAGAGAACAAACATATTAAAATTATCAACTTTATTTTTAATTACTCATTAAATTCTAATTAATTCTTTTACCATAAATTAATAAGTTTAATTATTCATTTTAAGCCATAAGTATTTCTTATTAATAGTTCCTACAAGATAGCAATTCTTATATGATAAGAGATAATAAGAGACAAACAACTAAATTATTTAATTAGGAATTTTTATACCTATCAACTGTGTTGACGTCAACAGATGGCCAAGCATGATTAATTCAAAGCCAAATTAGCTACGTTATACAATAATTAATCATGCTTAATTTGATTGCAAATTGTCCTCATCTAAACATTTATGTTTAGAATTTGGAAAAAAGCATCAGGGTTGAATCCTTCTTGAAGGATAATCATAATATTTTAATTCATTATACTAAAAAGAAAAGTAATTATCTATGATTGTTGTTGATATATCATCAAAAAAAATTATCTTGATTGAGCACAAATCTCGATGCAAAATTGAGTCGAAAGCTTTCGAAATTAAATTCAGGATCATATGATCCGATTTTGGCAAACTTATAGTTGAATTGAACGTCTCGAAAATACGAACCAAACGACACCAAACTCAACTCAATCCAAGTCCAAATGGAACCAAATTGTAGACCTGAAGCGCATTTGGAGCATTCAAACCATAAATTGGATAACCAAACGATTTTCTAACATGAGATGCTTATAGTCAAATTGAGCGGCTCGACAAGACGAATCCAATGAGCCCAAGATCGCCAATTTGGATATCATTAAGACATTTTAATGCCTAGTAAACGGTTCATGATCGAGGGAATCAACATCTGCCGTACATTCAAATCACTCCAAAAGTACCATTAATCTCTCTCATATTTACTGATCATGCCACTCTCAGAAAACAATAAATATACCCCTCTTTCCTCTTTTTTTTTTTTCTTTTTATTTGTGTGTGTGTGTGTGTGTGTGTGGGGTGAAGGGACCCGAGCAAGAAGAGAAACTTGAGTTTTCTTGCCACCAGATTTCTCCTCGACCACCGCTGGACTTCTACTTGGTAGCCGACTAGCACTGGACTTCTGCCTGACCACCAACTAATGTCGGACTTCCGCCAGACTGTCAATTGAAGTCATGTTTTCACCCAACCAATAATCGTCACCAAATTTTTTATCTCTGTTGCCAACTGACTATGGACCTTCTGTCTATCATCGTTAGACAACTGTCATTATGACAACCATCGTCCGCCGACTACAATCCTTCTGACCTCCGCTGCCAAACAACACTTTCTAACCACTATCGCCCGTTGACTGCGATCCCTCACACCACCGTCACCAGACTAGGTCTTTCTGACCTTAGTTGCCCACCAACTATGGTCTCGCCGACCAAACAAACACGCCATTAGTGACTTTTTTTCAATTTCCATAACTAAATGCACTTTATATGATATATATTTATTACATCAAGTCAAGGCCTTCCCACAAGGAAGAGCCTCATTTGTATTCGACAACAAATACTAGTGGATTCATTTAAACCGGACCATGCCCTGTGGCTTTTCCCTTTTCATAGTTTTTCTCGTAAAATTTTTGGTGTATCTTATAAATGCTACACCCTCTCTCTTATCTGATTGTGTGCTTGATCTTCATACAAAGCTAAGAAGTTAAACTTTATATTTATCTACCGTCGTGAATATTCTAGGACGCAACAGTTGTTAAGGATGAGATTTAATCAATATTTTCTAAAATAAAAAGGGACCCAAGAAAGAAGAGAAACTTGAGTTCTCTTGCCACCAGACCCCTCGAACACCACTAGACTTCCACCGAGCAACCGACCGACGCCGAACTTCTGCCTGACAACCGACCGACGCCGGACTTCTGCCCAACCACCAACTAACGATGGACTTCTGCCAGGCTGCCAATTGAAGCCGGATTTATGCCTAACCACTAAACGTCGCTAAATTTTCGATCTCTGTCCCAGCCAACTACGGTTCTTCAGACCTTCGTCGCTAGACAACAGTTTTTCTGACAACTAGCACCCACCGACTACGGTCCTCTTTACCTATGTCGCCAAACAATTGTCTTTTTAACTAATGTTGCCCGCCGACTACAATCCCTTCGACCACCGTCACGAGACTAGGTCTTTCTAATCTCTGTCACCCTCCAACTATGATTCTGTCGACCAAACAAATATGTCAATAGTGATTCTCTCAATTCCCATCATGTAATACACTTTATATGATGTATATTTATTACATCAAGTCAAGGTCTTCCCCCAAGGAAGAGCCTCATTTGTAATCGAATGGAAATACTAGTGGATTCATTCAAAATGGGTCAGGCCCTCTAGTTTTTTTCCATTTTCAAGGTTTTCCACATAAAAATCTTTGTCTCTTATAAATGTTACACCTTCTCTCTTATCTGATTGTGTGATGAATCTTCGTACAAAGCTAAGAAGTTAAACTTTATATTTCTTTACCGCTGCGAATATTTCAGGACGCAACAGTTATTAAGGAGGATATTTAATCAATATTTTCTAAAATGAAAAGAGACAGAAGCAAGAAGAGAAGAAAGAGAATGACGAAGAAAAACTTGAGTTCTCTTGCCACTAGACTCCTCCTCAACCACCGCCGAACTTTCACCCGACAGCCGACCGATGCCAAACTTCTGCCCAACCGCTAACTAACGTCTGACTTCCCTCAGTCCGTCAATTGAAGCTTTATTCCCGCCCAACTGCTAAATGTCGTTGGATTTCCGATCTTTGTCGCCAGCCAACTATAGTCCTTCCGACCTTCATTGCCAGATAATATTCTTTTTGATAACTATCGTCCATCGACTATAATCCTTCTGACCTCCGTCACTAGACAACAATCTTTCGGATCACTATCACCCACCGACTACGGTCCCTCCGACCACCGTCACCAGACTAAATCTTTCTGACCTCCGACGACCGCTAACTATGTTCCCACATACCAAACAAACATGTAAATAGTGATTCTTTCAATTCCCAACATGTAATGCACTATATATGATGTATATTTATTATATCAAGTCAAGACCTTCCCCCAAGGAAGAGTCTCATTCGTAATCGACTGCAAATACTAGTGAATTCATTCAAACTGGGTAAAGCCTTTTGAGTTGTTCCCTTTTCAAAAAATTTCATGTAAAATATTGATGTCTCTTATAAATGTTACACTCTTTTATCTAATTGTGTGTAGAATCTTCATACAAAACTAAGAAGTTAAACTTTATATTTCTCTACCACCACGAATATTCCAGGACACAACAGTTGTAAAGGATACTTTATCAATATTTTCTAAAATGAAAAGAACATCATATTTAACAAAAGAAAACGGTTTGAATATTCTTAATCAAGATGATTTTATATTCATTTAGCTTATTTTTAAATAAATGTAATATAAAATTAGATATATATTATGCTAATTAAATTTAACTTAAACGAGAAATAATTATATTTAAAATTATAAAAAGAATCTTCATTTTATATGAAACATTTATTTACAATTTCTTAGAGACTATATTTTTACATTTCTTGAGCTTTCATTTGTACTATACTTAATGTATTTAGTTCTTAAAAATTAATGTCAATTTATATATAATATGTTTTAGAGAAATCATATATATACACACATCATATGATTTCACTAATACATTAATTTATTTTATATTAAATTTCAAAAGAAACATATTTAAAAAAAAAAAAGATAGATTACAACTTACAAACCCATTGCAAAAATATGTAATCATTGATATTTTTATAGTAGAATTTGATTTCATTAAGAAAATTGAGCATTTTTGTAAGCAATATAAGTATAGAAAAATCATGACAAATGGAGTTTTTAAAGGGGTCCAAAGAATTATACAACACACATAAATATAGTTTGTCTCATGCTATAACTTAGTCATAAAAAACCAAATAGCATCATTTTCATAAAATTTGACAAAGAAAAAGAGATTCCAATTAAAAATCAAATATCTATTAATTACCTATCATAACACAGTTGTTGCAAGAATAAGTAAAATTTTAAAGAGCAATAATCATAATCAAAATATAATTAACATAATTTCCAAAATGAATATATAAAGCAATTGCAACATAATTAGCCATCATATTTTTTAACAACATATGATGCAAAATATTATTAAAAATATATAAATCATAAACTAAATCTAAAAGCTACAATTAAATGTTAAGAATAATAAATAAGTAATAATTACATTAAAGTTTCATTTGGGACAGCCTTTTACTACTTCATAAAACAACTTTTTAGTACAATTTTTTTTTTTTACTAAAAAGCTACTTTAAAAACAGTAAAAGAAAGCAGTCCCAAATGAAATCTAAATTTATTATGACTGAAAAAGATAAGGTGGATCAAGTTAATTGAATCACTGTAAACATTTGTTTTTCAACCTTGGTGAAGAGATTGAGCCTTAGTTTGAGAAAGCTTTCTTACTATTTTTAAAGTAATTTTTAAGTACAAAAAATTTTTGAAGTAAAAATTTTGTACTAAAAATTTATTTTAAAAAATAATAAAAAAGCTATCCCAAATAAAGCCTAAATTAACCATCTACAAACACACTGATTAATTAAATGTATGGGAATTTTCATGATATCATGTGATGTTAAAATTTTTTAAGAAAATAAAAAAAAATCACTTTCCAGCTCAAACAAAGAAAAGAAAATAGAAAAAGAAAAATATGTTAAAATATTCTGATATACATTATATCAAAATGAATTTAAAAATAATTATATATTTTTTAGATTAGCACTGTAAATGAAATTTTCATATTATACTAATTTTAAAATAAATCTGATGACTTTAAAGCTCATTCTATTATAATTTTAATCAGAATATTCTAACAAAATTTAATTTTTATTAATGAAAATATATGGTATTAGGTTTAAATCACGCTCATAACAATTTTCAGAGAATAAAGCAAACAAATTTTGTCATAAAAAATGCAGATAATAAGAAAATATGTCAAAGAAGTACTAGTTTGTAGAACAAATCCAAAAAGAGTAATGGATCTTTACCCAGGAACATATAGCTCTGCAGACAAAGATCACAAATATTTTCTTGCCAGAGCTCGAACTTTGGTATCAAAATGAGATGATGTGATGCGAGAGCCCGGCAAATAGAGAGGATTCAAGAGAATCTGCAGAAATCTCAGATGAAAAACAGTCAGACAAGTGCAGGAAGTAACACTGGCAAGCTGAAAAAGAACAATCCATCAGCCTGAAGCGTAATAGTGGAAATACATATTTTGTTTTGGAAAATGATGATTATATTTTTTGGATTAATTCTTCTGTGCGGACGCCGAACGTCGTTCGGAGACCAACCATAATGTGCCACGTCACCCCTGTGCTCGGTAACGCGGCTTGGTACTGCTCGATACCACGGTTTTGTACCGCTGATGTGGCGCGTTTTAGTTGATCTCCGGATGACATTTTGAATCCGGTCTCCGTGCAGAATAATGAAATAATTTGAGAGTTTTTTAGAAGAATTTTGAAAATTGAAATCAATATCAAGCAACAGATTGAGCCCTGATAAATAAAAAATCCCCAACTGTTACCACAGCTGATAATTCCACTATTTATTGTTCTAAATAGTAATCAACAAAAAATTGTTTTGCTGGTTTTGGAATGACAACAAAAAATATATATTATGTAGTTTTAGGCTTTGTTTGGGACGGCTTTTTTTTTGCTTCTTAAAGCAGATTTTTAGTACAAAATTAAAATTTTTGTATTAAAAAGGTACTTTAAGAAGCAGAAAAAAAAGTCATCCCAAACGAAGCCTTAATTAGGATATTGCGTCAATAATATAGTTAGTAGAAGCATACAACTCATATTAGATGATTTTATAATAAACTAAAATCATCCTTTGTTCTTGGGTAAAAAACAAGATCAAATTTGTTGCAAATTTTGCTCTTAAAGATTAGCTCCAATTCAAAATTTTGAAACAACATTTGATTTAAATTTTAACTCTCACAAATAGAAGAAAGAAAAAAGTAGGAGTGTGCTTGAAGGTTGTAACTAGCTGTTGCTGAGAAGCAAAAAGAAGGCGATGGGAATACAGAAAGACTATTATTGAAAAGTCTTTGGGAAAAAAAAAATTCTGACAGGACAGATATCAGTATTTCAAAGATATCAAGAATCTGTGTCTTGTGGGATACTCTATAGGTCGAAGACCTTTTTATGAAGCGCTGCTGGGGGCGATTAACAAAACGTGGAGTCTTAAAGGTTCGGTTCAGCTACTATCCCTTAGCGATGGTTTTTTTCTTATTTGCTTCACATGCACCGAAGATTATGACATGGTTTGGTCGCGGGGAGTCTGGTTCCTGCTGGGTAGACCTTTTATTCTTCAAAAATGGCACCCCAAATTCAAGCCTACGAGAGACAACTTTGCTTCTGTTCCGATTTGGGTCAAGATACATGATCTTCCCCTTGCATGCTGGAATTCGGAGGGGATTTCAAGGATTGCAAGCAAAATTGGTATACCCCTAGCTGCTGATAATCTGACTGAGCAGAAGACAAGGTTAACTTTTGCTAGGATTTGCGTTCTGGTTGACTGCAATGCTACATACCCGGAAGAAATCAAAGTTTCTTTGGATGGTGATGTGGTTTGCTTGAAGATTCAATATGAATGGAGACCTTCCCCATGCGAACACTGTAAGTCTCTTATGCATTACTCCTCTTTCTGCCCTTCTAAACCGGAACCGCTTGGAGATAAGGTGAATGCGGCTGTCAACACTCATCCCCGTGGGAGAAGTTTTAGCAGAAAACCTTATAACAGGCACTCCTCCTCCACTAAAAACGTCTCAAGACCTCCTAGCAGGGACCCTCATATACCTCATCCTCCCACTCTCCCCCCCTCTTCCACTGTCTTGGTTTCTCACAACATCAACAGCATTGGCCAACCTCTCCTCTATCAACCTCATTCCCCGCCACCTCCTACTGCCCAAGTGCCTGATTTTAACAATGTGGTCTCTGTCGAAAAACCCAATTCTATTCCTTCTGAAAATGTTCCCAATAACATAGTCATTCCGAACCTTAACTCCCCTAATGAGGAGGATGTGGCCTCCACTTCCTCCTGCCCGTCACACTCTCATGGTATCCAGAAAGTTTTCGAGGTGAAGATTAATTCCCCCAACAAGTTTGATCTGTTAAATGTGGAGGAGGAAGGCTCTTCTATTCCTGAAGAGTCTTCTAAAGATATTGAGGTTCGTGATGATTGGAGTCATAAACAGAAGCCGAATGACAAACCAAAGTCAAATAATTCTGCCGCGTCCAAGAAAACTGCTAAGGGAAAGCAGGCCAAAAAATCCCAATCTTCAAAATCCTAATGTTCCTTCCCAATTTTGCAGCTTGGAACATTAGGGGATTTAACCGACCAGACAAAGTCCTTTGCTGCAAGCGTTTTGTTATCTCTTTTAATCTTGACATGTTATGCATTTTGGAGAATAGAATTCACGTGAATTCTCTTCTTGATCCTTTTTTTGAGCAAACTCACTCCATTTTTTTAAATGAAAAGAGCAGTCATAATTTCAATCTGAATGCCTCGGGAAGAATCTGGATCAAATGGAATTCCGCAAAAATGGATTTTTGTCCCATCCACATCTCTTCCCAACTCATCACTGGCACTGTTTCTGTTGCTGGTCACCCTCTGTTTCAAATGTCTGTTATATACGCCTCCAATAGTGCTCGAGAAAGGAAAGATTTGTGGAGTTCTCTTGTGCAATCTCCTCCTGCTGCTAGCACTCCTTGGGTGCTGCTTGGTGACTTCAATTGTTGCCGTTATGCCTCTGAGAAGTTGGGGGGTTCCCCTCTTAACCATTCTGCTCTCTATGATATTAACAACATGATTTTTATTAATAGTCTCATGGATTTGAATACTGTTGGCAACAAATTCACCTGGTTCAATAATCGGCTCGACTCTCCCATACACATCAAACTTGACAGAATTCTGGTGAATGACAAATGGCTGGAGGCTTTTCCTGATTCCTACGGGTCTGTTCAGAGCCCTTCTTGCTCTGACCATTGTCCGATTATTTTGCACTCTGGTATGATCTTTCAATCTCGGCACAGATTTCTTTTTAAAAATTATTGGTCTAAGATTGATAGGTACTGGTTCATTCTCCTGGATGCCTTCTCTATTCCAATTTCTGGAAATCCCCTCTCTCATCTATGCCACACTCTTAAATTGATTAAATCTCGCATCAAGAAGGAGTCTTGGTCGAGCTTTAGTTCTGTTTCTAGGCATATGGATTCTTTGCTCAATTCACAAAGAGATATCCTGGAGAAATTGCATGCTGACCCAACAAATCATTCATATAACGCTTCTATTAAAGCTATTAATGCCAGTATTGTGGAATTCAATGCCATTCATGCTTCGTGGATCATTCAAAGGGCAAAAGTGAATTGGTTAAAACATGGAGAGGATGATCTCAAATTTTTATATGGTAAAATTAGGTGTAGGAGGAGTACCAACAAGTCGGTGGCTAACTTGCTTGCTTCGTCTCCTCTTTCATCTAGGACTGATGTTATATCCACTATCACTCAATATTTTCATACATTGTTTAATCCGTCTCCCCCTCCTATTCAAACTTTGGACGGATTTCCTGCTGGTAATGTGATTTCTGCCTCCTCTGCCAATGTGATTTCATCATTTGTGACTAATGATGAAATCAAAGCTGCTGTTTTTGGGGGCTCCTCCTCCTCTGCCCCGGGGCCCGATGGTTTTAATTTCCATTTTTTCAAAACTGGATGGCATATTGTGGGTCCGCATGTGTGTAGTGCAATTAAATCTTTCTTTTCTAAAGGGTATATTCCATCTGGTGTTAAAGCTACTGCTCTCACTTTAGTCCCCAAGCACTCCAATGCCACTAATATTACTGACTATAGACCTATTGCATTATGTAATGTTGTCTATAAGATTATTGCTAAAGTGATTGCTACTAGACTCAAATTGCTTATGCCCAGCATTATCAATCAAGCCCAGTCTGGTTTTGTGAAATCTAGAATTTCTACTGATAATGTTTTGCTTGCCAGTGAGATTCTTGCTTCTGCCAGTAAGAGGGGTGGTATTCATATGTTCTGTGCTAAACTTGATATCAGAAAGGCATTTGATACTGTTTCGAGAGATTTTGTTCTCGCTAGGCTGGTCCAAAAAGGTTTCCCTGACCTTCTTGTGAATTGGATCAGGATGTGTATCACTAATGTCAACTATTCTGTTGTGCTTAATGGTGCTTTGGAGGGCTATTTTTCTTCTTCTGCTGGCTTGAGACAAGGTTGTCCGTTGAGTCCCTATCTTTTTTGTGTGGTCATGGATGCTCTTTCCAACCTTTTAGAGGTTAGAGGTTTTAAATGTATTACTGCTGGGAATTTTTCTCTAACCCACCTTTTATATGCTGATGACGTTCTGATATTTGGAGAAGCTTCTATTCAAAATTGCCAAAATCTTGCTTGCATCCTTAATGATTTTGCCAATGCTACTGGACTGCACATTAACTTTGAAAAAAGTGCTATCATGTTCCCTAAGCAGCTAGTGAATCGACAAGTCTTTTGTAATATCTTATCTATTTACAATATTGCTCAGAAGATCACTTACCTGGGGATTCCATTGTCTTTCCATAGACTCAAGATTGAAGACTTTATTCCTTTAGTGGATAGTATCTACAAAAAAATGAATGGTTGGAAGGCAAACTTGCTTTCCTTTGCCGGTAGACTTCAATATCTCAAGTTCACTATCCAGAACTCTATTGCTTATTGGATTCGAGGTGCTATCTTACCCAAAACCATTTATAAATTCTTAAAGAAAGCTAGCTCTCGTTTTCTTTTCTTTGGTGACATCTCTCAAGGCAGGAAGCTTCATATGGTTTCTTGGGATGTCATTTGTCGTCCCAAGAATAAGGGTGGTTTGGGTGTTACTTCTTTTAATGCCTTGCAATTTGGTTTCAACTGCTCTCTTATATTTAGGATGTATAACTCATCCTCCCCTCTCTCCTCCTGGTTGTTAAGTAAATATTCATCTCCCTGGCAGCGTCCTCACTCTTCTGCCTCAAATTTCTGGAAGTCTGTTTGTAAGACGGCTACTGATGCTAAAGCTTGTTTTGGTTTTAGAATTACAAAGCATTCCCCCATCTCTTTCTTACGGGAT